GGGGGGGGGGGGGGTTAGAAAGAAGCAGGCAGAGAGATGAGGGGAGGGGAGGGGGGTGATTGCATAGGAGAAACAGCAGATGGAGAGTGACTGGGAGAGAGTTAGAAGGGAAAAAAAAAATGGAAATAATGAGAAGTAAAATAAGAGAATAAGAGGGTGGGTGGTGGGGGTTGGTGTGGAAATAGGTAGAGGTTGAGTCCCCCCCTCTTTAATCTGTGCTGAATCAATACCCCACTGTAACAGCAGCTCTCAATCCCAGTCACTTGCCTCGCTGCCACCCTGCATGCTGCCACAAAGGGCCAAGTCACGTCATGTGACGACCTCTTTCACACAAGGCTCAGGGACTGGAAAGGAGATCATATTCAAGGAGAGGAGGAGGTGGGGGTGGGGATGAGGGGGCATGCAGGCTAAAGGTGAACGTTCCAGTGAGATCAGTAGGAACTGAACATCTTAGTCATTTTACCTATTTTGTAATTCAAGCTGCTCCATCTTAAAGAAATATCATGTTGAATAGAAGAAATGTTGTGCTCGTAGTAGTTGATGTTCTGTTCTTCATTTTGCTTATGCTTTGAGTAAAAACCCTTTCACAGAGCAGGTCAAGTTTGTTTTCCTGACAGAATTCAGTGTTGCAAAGAAGACATTCAATTTGCTGAAACACTGAAATTTGAACTGCGGAATTTGAAAAATAACAATGATTCAAGTGAGCAGCTCTTTTATTTACACAGCTAATATTTTATTGGACAATCGAAGAAGAATATAGTCGTTAGTTCTATAGTCGTGTAGTATATAGTACTATTCTACTTACGCAAGACTTGCAACGTATGTTCTTCCTCATTACATTAAGTACAATGTTTCAAGTTTCGGAATTGGCTCTTAGTCAGTTATGAGAAAAAGGCATGGCTGTAGTTGAAATGTTGCTATAGATGTATAGTAACATATGGTGAAGTCATCTATTTAAAGGGGGGAAGCCAAAATCCTCTACAGACCCTCATTTATTGTCCTGTTTTCCTGTAGATGCACAAATGTGAGAGGCTCCAGATTCTCATATGTCTGTTTTGGCCTCAGAAATGATTCATAGTTTTTTGCTATACAACTACAAAGCAGATACCAATGAATTTATAAGCTTTAACTGTCGCTAAAAAGAGCTGACTAACAGGGATGGCGCATGTTTTGAGGAGTCTTAAACTTGACTGTAATCTCCTGCTCTGTTGTTGACGTGCTGATCGGTGAACAACCGAGTCAAGCGGCAGATGAGGTGAAATACGGTCTCGTCTCGTGCAGCCTTCAGTCAGTTGCTTCATCTGACCTATAATAACCCCTACCCTCCCTCTCACACTCTAGTTATGTCTCACATTCGTGCCTCTTTTTTTACATCCATCTCTTTCGGCCGTTTCCCTCCCTCTTCTTCCTTTTCCCTTTCCTTCCATCTCCCTCGATAATTTCTCATCCTGCTCTCCTTCTCCTCCTCTTGTTCTAGCCATCTCCACATCTTTCATCTGTCCTTCTTTTCAGTTTCACCCCTTCCTTTCGCTACCTCTACATTAGATCGGACTCTGCGCTTCAGGTGACCTCTGGGTGACAAAACCCATCACCCTCTTTTTTTGCCTCTCCTTCCCACTTGTCCTTTTTTGTCAGTCCAGATTTCAATCCACACTGCTCTTTTATCTCACCTCTGTGTGTTTATCAGCCCTTCTCCTCCCCCTGATATCTGCCATCTGTGTCCACTACGTCTTTACCTTCTCCAGCCATCATCCTCTTTCAATTAATTCCCTTTTTAATCACTTTAAATCTCCCCCATCACCATGAATTCCTCCTGTCTTCTGGAAATATTAGCACATTTTATTCAACATACATTTCTCACTCAGGTCACTCGCATACTTACACAACTTATTACTGGTTGTATGGTTACAATTTTTCCCTTTTTTTAATCCCCTCTTCTTGATAATATTTTCTCTTTTCCTGTTCTCTGACTTCCTCTCTCTCCCTTCTCTGGCGATCCATCACCCCTCACCATCTGGACCCCCGTTCTTCTCTCTCCATTTCTCTTTGTCTACCTGCTGATTCCAGTCTCAGCGAGTCGAGGCCAATCTGAGGACGTCTGCGCTCAGCAGAAAAAGATGATGTCATCTCTTTCAGTGCCGGCGGGCAGGACCGGCACTATCACACGGCACAGAAACTGTGGTTTACACGATGCCGCCTCTTTTCAAGACAGGCAGCGGAAGTTATGCAGAGCTGTCGACACAGTGTGTGCCACCTCAGCCTCTTACGTGTAAGATATTTTAGTTTGACTTTAATCCACAACTGACAATGAGCTGCAATTGTTTTAAAGCAGGAATGTATGA